CCATTGCTTCTTGTCCTGCCCTCAGGTGCTTTGGAGAATAGCTTGACTCCCTCTTCTTTGGGGCAGCCCCTTTATGAGACTCTTGCTGCAACAAAGTAATCCTTTTGTATTCTTTTCAAAGTCTTGTTTTCAATAGAAAAGGTTTTTTTCTTTTAAAAAAAAAAAGACTTTGAATTTGATAAAATAAAGAGCAGACTGAGACAGGAGACCTTAAACTGCCAGATGTGGGCAGACATATATGATGTAAGGATGCACTAGAGGCCCAAATCTTCCTGCAATTTAATTATGGCTCTGTTGTGATGCCGATTTAATTCCTTAATTGCTACTGTAGCGGATCCTGGAATCGGACGCGCCCTGCGTGGGGCTTATTAAAATGAATAGGTAGATGAGCCCACAGGTAGGTATTTGTTCTGCAGGGGAAAAATATTTGCAATGTACACATTTGATACAGAAACTTTTGTTTTTCTGGGATGTGAGTTTTGACTTGCCCCAGTTGGATTAATGCTTGACTGAATGCTCAGTCAAGTTTCCTTAGGCACACATAATTAGCCGCGCTTCTAAGCCAACCGATATTATTAAAGAAACACATTTTTAGATATCTTTGTGCCTGGCAATCTGATATAGATGCATGAGAGGTTTGCAAAATGGAGAACGTTATTTTTTTAAAGAAAAACTAGACACCCGAACCTAACAGCTATGAATTCCAATAAATACATTTCAGAATAAATCAGGAATAGCTTTTTCTCGACTGCTTTAATTAGATCCCCATTAACTGCTGGAAACATTGCTCAAACCCATGGGTTTTAATAAGATCGACAGTAACGAGATCCAGCTTTCATGGTTTATGGCTTTTCAAAGATGGGTGATTCAAACCTCCTGCCTCAACTGCTTCCTAAAATACAATTTTAATATTAAAATAAAGGCATATTCGCGTACGACAATCCTCAGGGACCTTTACGCGATCCAGCTGTCTATATATCAAAAGCAGAAATCAGGAAAGATTCCAGTCACCAGGAATGAGATTAAAAATGTGAGCTGCCATTACAAAATAATAAATCTAATTCTGCTCCGAACCCCTTCAACGGATGGAGATTTGCATCAGAGATAACAAGTGTGTGTTTGTGTGAGGGCATCCACACTAGCACAACAGCCTCCTCTTGTATCCAGAAGTAGTGACGGCCATGCCATCCTGACAGTTAAATAAACCTTTCGTCCAACCCTTTCTCAAAATGCACAAATCTTCACACACACACACACACCAAAAAAAATGGATTAGATACTGATTACAGTCTGCAGCATTAAAGGGATGGGTTAAGAAGGGGGGTAGGGGAAAGCTTTGCTTTATAGATGAAGTCAGATCTTAAACACAGCTGTGTCTCCGACACACACACACACACACACACACACACACACACAC